TACAGTAGAACCTCGATTATCCGGACTAATTGGGGATGAAGGTAGTCCGGATAAGGAAAAATCCGGATAATCGAAACAAATACTTTAATTTGTCTTTTAATAATAATGCAACACGTTTTCTTTTCAATGACATATCGGTAATATTAAAAATAAATACTGTATTTAAATCGTGATCAAATTTTCAAGAAACAAATGTTTTATTGTATTTGGACTACTATTGACCAGCCCTAACAGACTAGCTATTGTTTAGAAAACCCTCTGGCGGCTCAAGAATACGGATTTTATAAAATAAAAAGCAGTTGAAACTGCATTTTTATGAATAAAAATTTAACAAACTATTTATCGTTTTATGACGAGTAAAATTTTTTCGTCGCGTTCTCGGCTTTTAAGTAATGCATAAACCTTCGAGGCGCGAGGCCCTTCGGACAGCGAGGCTTAGGTGGTGGCCCACGTTGCCCATGCCTTACGCCGCCCTTGGTTATAGAAATGATGTAATTTGAGTATAAATTATTTATAAATACGTATGTCAAGTTATATTTTTATTACTACGTAAAATATATTTAAGAGTTTACGACAACTGTGCCTGGTAAGACGTTGTTGAAACAAAAAAAGTTATGCATTCCATCATGTACATAAACAGTGTCGTAATTCGCCAAGTGCAAATCAGCAAATTCGTAAAATTTTTGTTTACTTTGAACAATCCGGATAATCGAAAATCCGGATAATGGAGGTCCGGATAATGGAGGTTCTACTGTATTTTGAAATTTTACATTATATGGATTGGCAGATTTTAACGATAAATTCGAAATATTAAAGCTGGGTGGTTATTACTTTTCTCGAATTCGAATGTTAACCAAATCTCGAATTTTTGAATAATTCAAATTCTGCAATACCTCGAATACTTAGAGAACTTAATTATTTTATATAACTTATATAGCTAAATAATAAATGTTAAATGAAACCATTAACTTGTTTCATTTACTTGATAAAATTTTAAAAAAAGTAAAAAGAAAAACAATTCACTAAATTCTAAGAAACGAAACTAAACTTTTTATTTTTACCTTGAATTTTATAATACCTTATTTTTAGGCACTGTTGTCTTAAATACAACACAATAATTGTTTTCATTTTCACTAACTGCAGATTTTTACTTACGAAAAAAGGCGTACGAGCACGTTCAGAATCTACTGTATTCCTTTTCTTTTAGGAAATTAATTAAGATATGCTTAAACGGGCTACCAGATAAGGGTTTTGTCCGAAATTAGGGACTTTCAAGTCAAGTGGGAAAAAAATGGGAAAATTTTGTAGGGAATTTTATATTCTCGAAGGGAAAATTGAGGAATATATTGTAAGCATAATATAGTATTATCAGCGACTAAAACTAATTGAAAGTGTTTCTATTTATACTCAGAGACTTGCGAAGATATGACAAAGCATGTAAAATTTAAGAATTTTTATATTATTTCAGAACATTTAAAGCCAACAAATACATCTAAATAAATAAATACAATATTTGGTTTATTATTATTGTAAAGTAGTGACCTTTTAGCAGAGTGGGGACAAAACAGGCGCGACCTTGTCAATTGGACCTACGTGCGGTCGTTTAATACCACTTGTAAGGTATTGACTTGTAAACAAGGGGAAACAAAGAAAGCGCCGCTTTGTTAATTGGACCCACCTGCAGTCAGACGGTATTACAGTTGCCATATGGTAAACAAACGAACGTAAACAAGTGGCGGACGTTTTTGTAAGCTTCACTCTCGTCGGATGACGGCGAACCCGAGTGTAAGCTGTTCAGGCATAAAAAAGGGTTGTGATTGGTTGGAAGTCCCCGTTCCAAAATCCCTTAAATTGCAGGGCGAACGAGAGAGGAGGAGAGAAGGGCAAGAGACTGATACACGGTTGTCTCAGGCACTTGGGAAGCCCGCTGAGCGTAAAGAGAGAGTGTTCTCCTCTGTTGATCTTCTCAGAGACGGGTTAGTGCTGAGACCGGACCGACTGTGCAGTTGAGCCGACTCCACAATCTGACTGAGGTCTCTCCAAAGGTTATTAGTTCCCAGACACCAATCTGGCACGTGAATTCACTACGCATGGTTATCCTGTACATACACTATGTTTTCCAACTTGTACTTTCTACAACTGTAAATAAACTGTACATATATTCAATTTGAGTGTGGAGGTGTGCTTTCCAACGAACTGATTCATTACATCGAGTCGTGATACACAAGAAACAAACTCAGACGGAGTTGGGAAGGAACGGCAATAAGATCTTCACTATTATCATAATATATAGTGTACTCTACAGCAGTGTGTGACAACTGTATTAGGATTTAAAAAATAAATACCATGAGCTAAAAATACAGTTTTATTTATGCATTTCCTTCTTCGAGTATGCTGTACAAAACTTTACATATTTTCAAATTATCAAATAGAAAAAAATAACTATGTAAAGATTCAATTAATAACTCTTCGGAAAAACATTTCAATAAAAGTTACGAGTATCAAAAATATTAAAATCGTATCTGCACTATTGATGATATTGTGGGTGATTTTTCTTTAAAATTCAGTAATATGGGGAAATTTTACAGACACTTTGGAGACAATTGACTCTATTAATCCGGCAACCCTATCTGACCTTGCCTGTACGTATGGTACAATATTAGAGAGTTAGAGAGTATTCGAATTATTTATTAACGAGGTATTCAAAGATCTCAAATACTCGAATACAAGAAACTATATGACTATTCGCGGATATTATTCGTCCATCTCTAACAAATAGACAAACATAAAGTGCACGAACAGAAATAAATAAGAAATAAAAATAACACTTTTAGACATTTCAA